TCGGGAAATGTTGGCATAAAGTCCTTCCTGTCAGAGATTTACCAATCTGCAGGAAGCATAGAAGACGGTAATGAAGTCTTTGGCCTAATCTTGCCCCAGGTAAAGGCCTAGAACAGATGAGGGCACCTGGCATTATAATCAGGGATGGGTCTCTGGAGCAAAGTTCCAGCTGGGCCTCTTTAAATAAAGCAGCACAACAAGGCACCTTCCTCTCCAGACCCTCTTCTGGGGCCTGTCTCTTGCCTTGTGTACCTGCTGGAGCAGCTTCCATGTCTCTGCTTTTGGGGCAGGGGGGATGTGGGATAGGGTGGAGGTGACATCTGTATTCAGAATTTTAAATTATGAAATGATTTCGGCATACAAAAAAGCGCAGAAACAAATATAACATATTTGTGTAACTACACCAAGAGTGTTAGGTGTTACCGTTTTGCCACATCTGCTTCATATCTCCCTCTTTCTAAAGGGAAAAAAGGCAAGACTGAAGCTCCACCCCATCTCTTATCCTCTCCCTTCTCCAGAGAATGTCATGTATTTCCTTTCCAATGCATGCTTTTGTACTTTTACTATATATATGTATCCATAAACAGTATATACTATTTTGTGTATTAAAAGTGTATACAAATGGTATTATGGTGCATTCTTTTCTTTTCAAAATTCAGCATTATATTATTTGGATTTGAACCATTTTGCTAGGTAGGCTTTACTACCATTTTTTTTTTTTAAACTACTTTATAGAATTCCATTGTATGGCCATAGCAAAACCTCTTTTTTTCCATTTCCATTTCCATTCCGTTGTGTTAGATTGTGTCCTCTTTCTGGCTTTTGTAAATAGCATTGCATCGAATATCCTTCTTCGGACACATGTGAGTGTTTCATGGGTATATATTTACAAGGGGAATTGCTGGGTCAGCGGGTCAGTGTACCTTGGTGAGGAAACGGTTTTCTAAAACTTCTTTAGGAAGAAATCGGGAGAGAAGACAAGCATGGATTATTTCTTCAATTTTGAAATACGAGCAAAGAGTTCAGGGTACGGTAAATTGAGAAATGGGCCCGGAATTTCTGAATATTTAACATGATACAGGGATATAAAAAGTTAGTAATCACGTTTTTTTTTTAATCAGAGTGATTTCCTAAAATACTTAAATGAATCATTTTTTGCTATACTTTCTCTCCAATAATATATGAAAGCATTCATATTTCTTGGAAAATTGGAATAAATTTTTTATTACGTGTGCTCACGCTCCACTCTTAAGATCTTCTTTATTTAGAAATGAGTGAAATAAATTCTTGTTTTTCTTGTTTTTAGATAACAGAAAAGCTCTGATCTCAAGAATTTTCTGGAGATTTCCATTTAGTTTAGTGTAGTGATCTTTTTATTCAAACCATGATAAGGGCCCAGAACATTCGCTGGGTAATAATGACTTAGAGGGTTGGTAGCTAATAGCTGAGTGCTGTGCAGCTGTGGGCATGAAGTTCTGTGTTTTGGCTGTTGGAAGAAGCTGGACATACGTGTTTCAAAGAGTTGTGTAGTGCAAGTGATTCCATTTTTATGAGGTGTTCCTTCACTCGTTTAATTTTTTATATAATCACTTGATTTAGTAATCCACTGAACAACATCCATTCATTCAACAAACATTTAGTGATTGGCAGTCCCTCTTCCAGGAGGCATTCCAGGAATGTGGGAGTTTAGAGTCCAGTGATAAGGACAAACAGTAAACACAACACATAATTAAGGCGTTAACTAACTCCTATCATCTCCCCTGTGGTAACATAAAATTGGAAATGGCCTGAGAAAGACGACTGGGGCCGACTGGGGCCGTGCTCCTTAGGCTGGTCAGGGAGGGGGTGGTATCTGAGCTAGAAGTGCTTTGTGACCCCAACTCCCCTCACGTGGTTCCTGGTGCTCAGTAACTCTTGGTTAAATTTCCCTTGCATCCAACATTCTGGTAATCTTATTTAGCCTGAGTGTGTTTGAGAACTAAGACATAAACAAGAAGACTCTCAGTAGCCAAAACTGATTTTACAAAAGTTGAGGCCGTCAAAGCTCGCGTGCTTCCCTCATAGGACAAGTTCCCTGGGCCTTCCTGTTTTTAACCATCATGGGTTTCTCAGTCCTCAGCAGGTTCTGTTCAGGATAGAGGTCAGAGTGATGAGCCATGGCTGAGTGCCTTGGTGGCAGGGTAAGACTGACGGCAGAGGGAGACCAGAGTTATGCTGTGGGGCTTGTGTGCATGGCTTTCAACCAGAGGCTCTGAGGTTCTCAGTGTATTATGGCTCAATCTGTCGATTTATGTTTCATAATAATGACTGTTTGGTTTAAGATATCAGAAAAGCATATAATAGATCTGTGAAAGCCCTGCATCTAAATTGATTAAAACAAAAGCAATATTGATCATTAAAGAATTAGACTTTAATTGTAGACAACTGAGGTATTATATTTAGAAATTGATTTTTAAAGATAAAACGTAGGAAATAATTAATATTTTAGAGATAGCTCTGCAACTTGTTTAATAAATAATAGCATCTGTGTAGCATTCCAGGTAGGATTATTATATTGCTGGTTATAATATTAATATGAATTAATAGAGAAAGTAGCCCTGTTTTATAGATGGAGATGTGAGATGGAAATCGTTAATGTAATTGACCACATTCACACAAGTGAGGCACAGTAGGACTTGGATTTAGATCTCGCACATTTCCAACCCAGAGACTCTTTCGCTCAACAATTTAGTGATCTCTGTTGCAGTGTGGCTCCCACGGAAGGACAGCAGACCAGATTCAGTAGATTGGCACTGGGACCCAGTTCTAACTGTTGGCCCAATTGTACTGGGTTAGAAATCACCTCGTCCCAGGCTCACAGTGGGGGAGGTGTCCCTTAGGTGAGTACCAAATGAATTAGGCCATGTATCTAAAAGGAGAGCAAATGGGTTTTAATTGTGGAAGACAGTAGTAAAATCTCCCAAGCAAAAGTTTTTTGATGGTTTCTCCTCTGAATTTTGCTGTGCTCTGCGGGTTGTTGCTGTGGTTCTGTTGAAAATTTGCTTACATTCCCACCCACCCTACCGTGCTTCCTCTGCACCCCCACTTGTCCCTAAGCTCTTCAGAGCTGGAATAGATGGTAACAGATTCTAATAAGTTCAGGGCTGCTCTAGTGTTAGTTGCTGCCTACAACAAGCCCTGTTGTTGTCTGTCTTAGAAAATAGAGCCCCCTCCCCAAACGACACTTTCATATTGTGTGTAAAGGTTTCTGTAAACCAGAAAGTCAACATATTAAAGTGCAATTCATAGGGGAGTTTCTGGCTGTGTTGATTGAGCTTTACAGTCATTTTAACACTGGCAAAAGTGTTATCCTAACTGCTTCAAATCAAACTGCAAAGATGCTTGTGTGAAATATAGTATTAGATATCAAATCAACATATGGGTGCTGAACGGAAGGATATGTGTTGTGGTAGTATACGCTACTCTAGCATGTGGAGTTGTATTTTATGGAAATTCTTTGGCTTGGCTTATGGCAGGGACATACATTCATTATGAGATATCAAGCTGTAAAATAAATAAAAGCAAAGAATTCAACTGTGCAGTTAAATGGTTTTCAATACAAACTTGTCTGTTCTACTAACTTAGGGTCTGTGTGATGAGACATTTGTGAGCCATTGTGGCCAAATGTTTGTGATCATTGCTGACAGGCCTTGACAGTAATCTAAATCAGGTCACAAAGAAAATGAACTTCAGCTTTTGCATTTTCCCCTTTTACTTCATTGTATGTATTACGAATTATTGTGTTAATTGGTCTTAGAGGCGAAGTGTTTAATATTTTCCTCCTTTTACCATTCCTTCTTTTTCCTTGTTCAGTATTTTGTAGTCACTGTGTTTTTAAATGTGTATCTGGAACTGATCACTGAATTCTTAACTGTGTGGGCTTATGGGGCTCTAGTTCTTGGGATTCTCAAGTGGACCATGTTGTATTATTAACAGGGTGACTTCACTCTCCTCCTCTATGGAGTGCTTTTTGCCATCCTGATACCTTGTTTTTCTTTTTCTCTGCTGCTCTCTCTCCCAATTAGAAAAAAAAAGATTTTTCATTTGAAAAAAAAAAATTAAATATCATCCATGGTTTATTTATTGCATGAGGAAGGAATTTTCTTTGAGCAAATATTTTTAAGGATTTTTAGGTTCGTGTAAATTAGAGATGGAGAAAGCTCAGTTAGGCCATTTTTGTCTGTATCTGCCATTTGCCGTCTAGCACACTTTGCTTTACACCATTACCTGTTTTATCAAGTAGGAAAATACTATTCTAATATTAGATATGACTATCTTTCCTTTAAGAACTCATGTTGTTGGTTATATTGGGTTATATACATAGTACTGTCTTCTAAAAGGGTTGTATTTGATGGTAAAGCAATGTAGTTTCTTTTTCGCAAAAAGTGTGTGTGGAATTGCTAATGTAACTGGTATAGTGTCTGCTCCTATGGAGTTGGGACTTTTTGACCTTAGTTGAAACAAAGCCATGCCCTATACATGTAGCCAAGCCACAAGCATCCTACAGAATATTAGTAAGTGGGCTTGGATGGTGGGAGTTCATTTTAATTTTGAGTGTTGCAGGAGAATGGATTAACATAACGACTTTCTTAGCAGAGGGTATTTTTTTTTTTCTTAACAGTGTTTTTATTAGCTTCAGGTGTACAATATAGTGATTCACCAACTCAGCAGAGGCTATTTTTTCATGTCAGTGTTAGGAGAGTTTTTTCCCCCCACTGGATTTTTATGAGGTTATCTATACTTGATTATCTGATGAAATCTTATTTTTAAAAAAGTCAACGCTGATAATATGTGAATAGAAGGCAGTATGATGATTTATGTAAAGAGAGAGAAGAGTAAAAATATTGAATTCAATTGCTTAGCAAAGAGCCCACTTCATGTTGCTGAATCGAAACCATGTTTGATTTCATTGAATTAGCCCATTTTGACTTTCTCGCCTGTTTTGCTTGACTTGTTGACAGATGCCACCTCAGTATGGACAGCAAGGTGTGAGTGGTTACTGTCAGCAGGGCCAGCAGCCTTACTACAACCAGCAGCCGCAGCCTCCGCACCTCCCTCCACAGGCCCAGTACCTGCCGTCCCAGTCCCAGCAAAGGTACCAGCCGCAGCAGGTGAGCGCCCCACGGGCCCCCAGGCCTCTGAGCTGTCCTCCAGGTCTGCCACACTGGGCTCGGAGTCCTCTTCCCGTCCTGCTTAAAAAATTCTCTTCTCAGTGGGAAAAAATGTAGTTTTGAGAAAAGGGTAAAACTGAACCTAATCTAAACTGTTTGCTTATGGATGGATGTTTGAAATTGAGGAGTGGGAAGAATATGCTCATTCAGAAAAATGGTTTTGTTGATCACTTAATCTTGCTCGTTGCCACCTTCATGGTATTTTTATCTTGAGCTTTTTTTGTTTGTTTTGTTTTTGTTTTAATGATAAGTGCTACTATATCAAAACATTGTTGCCTTTGGCAGTGTTATTCCTCTTAAACTAGCTTATAGACAATCACTTCAGTTACAATATATTAAAATACTAAAGGGAATCATGTACTTCAAGAATATTAAGCAGTTTGCAGTTTAAATTAGCCTCATTAAATATTCTTTTATGTTATTGGGCCATATATTTCAGCTTATGTGATTTGTAGAAAAATAGTACATATGCATTTGATAAAATGATTCAGTCTCATCTTGTTTTAGAGATTGTCACTGAGTGATCTAAAAGGTGCTGTGAGCTCAGGACTCGTATTCTGAATCCAGATAAATGTTTCATAGCACTATTCTAGTCATAAGCATCAGAATGTAACTTTACATTTCATATTTTTCTTTCTTAATTTTTCATGGGATGCTGTAGTGAAGAGAGGGAAGACAATGACTTGGTTATTCAGTTTTTAAAGCATGTCTTGCACATCTTAAAGAGATTGTTGATGCTTAGCAAGGTATATGTAAATATATGAAGCTTAATTTTAATTCAGCTGATTTCTTAAGTATTCTTGGGTTCATTGGAGTCTTTTCCCATATGACATATTCAGGAGTTCTAAAGAGAGTTTATGACTTTATTTTTTTTTTTTTTAAAGATCTTATTTATTTATTTGATTGAGAGAGAGAGAGCACAAACGGGGAGGAAGGCGAGAGGGAGAAGCAGGCTCCCCGCCGAGCAGGGAGCCCGATGTGGGGCTCTATTCCAGGACCCCTGGATCATGACCTGAGCTGAAGGCAGACGTTTAACTGACTGAGCCATCCAGGTGCCCCAAGAGTTTATGACTTTAAACAAAACATGTTAAAACAACAGCTGAGATAGAAGATCCTGTAGGATCTTGTTTTTTGTATATGTTCTCAAATATTCTGGTATTATATAAAGGGATGTATAAGAGGCAAGAATGTATATTATTTCAGAGTTATTTGGTCTAGTCTTTTATTAAGATGTGGGAGAATTAAATAACCTTCCAATATCATTTCTTTTTTAAGTGAGACTGGTGTCTGGGTTTATGATATATAGAGTTACAGGCTTTTTCAAGGGCTTTCCGAACCTTATTGAACTTCTGGGTAGACATAGAATGTTTTGTCATGCCATCAAAATTTAAGAAGAACTGAATAGAGAGATTACATTAGTCATTTTACTTTAGTGCTAAAATGAATCTCTGATTGTAAAACCAGTTTGATTAAGGATTCCGAGGGCCTGTCATTTCCTTCAAGACCAAGCTCAAATTTACTTCCTTTATGAAGCATTCACTGATGACTTCTACCACATGGCAATCAGTTATTTAATATCCTTCAGATTTAAATATTTAAAGCATACTACAGGTGAAATCTTACTTTAATGAATACTATTTTAATGTGCTTCGTTTAGGTCTGTTTTATGCTTTGGTACCATTATTTTATTGATTTGAATGTAGTAAATTATATGGTAGGAAATACTGTCTCTATAACCATGACTCTCTGACATAAATACTGTCATTTCTGTGTATTCTGAAGAAGACAAAAATTCTTCATACTATGTTGGAAAGTTTTTCTTGTTTTCATGCTCCCTACCTGTAGAATGTCTAAGTGTTTTTTAAGTTTCATTACGCTCCTTACGGGACGACGAGGTGGAAGTCAGAGACAGGTAGCTGAATCAGAGGGTCTTGTGTGATAGGAACAACTTTGGTTTTTAGGGAGTTAGATGTTCAGATAGCTTTGGAAAGTTTGTCTAGGAAATAAGATTTAGCATTTTAGATGTGGTTATTGCCTCCCCAAACTGTAATCCCCTCAAACTCTATCCCAAAACAAAGTAAAAATAACCAACAGAATATTTTCAAAATCAAACTGAATTTTAATAATAGAATTTGTCATTCCGAATTCACATATGTTGAAAAACCAAAGAAGCTCAGCCATATATAATGTAGTGAACCAGTAGAGCCGGTAGTTCCTAACAGACAAAACGTTCTTTTCTGCAGCCTTTCCTTTTGTTTCCAAACAGCATGCATAGTGTATTGATTTTTATATTTGGGAATCAATCAGCAAATAATACTCTGTGGCTTTTGTTAATATGATTGATACAAAAAATAATTTTAGGGTTCCATTAAGATACCTCACTCTTGTCTTTAACATCTGTTAAAGTGTTCTATTTTGAATCATCCATACATTCATATGTTTCAAAGATGAAAAAGTACAAGGGAAAGAATACAAATAAAAATCTCCCAGCACAGCCCTCCCCCTGCTTCACCACCGGCCTCACCCTTTGCCAGACAACCACTTCAGGAGTTTATTGTGCAGGTTTCCGGAGGATCTTTATACAAAGAAGCAAGATGCCGTATTTTAATTTTTACTCTATTTTTACACAAATAGTGAGGTACTGTACCATACACACTGTTCTGTGTCATCCTCCTCCCCCACACCCTGAAGTATAGTTTCTGTAGATCTTAAAGCAACCCTTCATTCTTTTTCATAGCTTCCTTTCATTTTATGAAATGAATACTCTTTTGATGGTCATTTAGACTGTTTTTAATTATTTGCAAATCAAACAGGGCTGCCGTGATAAACTTTGTGTATGTCTCATTTCATAAATTTGCAAGCATATGTGTATGACAGGTTCCTGAAAGTGGTATTAGTGTGTCAATGGGTAGATGCAGTTCTAGTTTTGGTAAATACTGCCAGATTGTTCCTTTGGGGGGGGTTGTACCAGTTTATACTCACACCATCAATATGTGAGAGTCCCTGTTTGCCTCTACATGTGCCGGTAGCATGGTTTGCTAAGCTTCTGGATTTTTGCCAATCTGATAATGTAATTTTAATTTGCATTTATCTTGTTTTGAGTTGTGTTGAATGTCTTATATCCTTAAAAGCATTTGCTTTTCCTTTCCTTTTTATTGTGAATTCGTATCTTTTTATCTTGCATTTTTCTATTAAGTTGTTGCTCTTTTAAAAATTGATTTAATAAACCTATATATATATATATAGGTTTATTATAATTCCCTATATATATATATATATATAGGGAGACTGGATCTTTGTGAGTTACTAACCATCCTCCCCCATTTTGTCATTTATCTTTTGACATTAATTATGATTTATTTATCTATTTGGTCATGCAGAGGGGCTTTTTAAATTAAAAAAAATTTGTGTACTCAAAATTATTAATCTTTTCTTTTAAGATCTCTGGATTTTTATTTAGTGGGAGTATGAGACTTCCATATTCCAAAATTTACAAAGGAACTCTCTCATGTTACTTTGTAGTATTTTCATGGATTCGTTTTTCATTTCACTTACCCTAATCCAGCTTAATTGTTTCTTTGCTAGGTCTTTAAGTGCCTTCTCTTGTGTAGGCTGTTGTGTTAGGGCTCTACAGAGAAACAGAATGTGTGTGTGTGTGTGTGTGTGTGTGTGTGTGTGTGTGTGTGTGTGTGTATTTTGTTAGGATAAAGAGATTTAATGTAAGGGATTGGCGTATACAACTACGGATGCTGGCAAGTCCCAAATGTGCAGTGCGGCAGGCTGGAGGCTCAGGAGAGCTGATAGTGGAGATGAAGTCTGAAGGCAGTCTGCTGGAGAATTCCTTCTTCGTTGGAGAGGCTGGTCTTTTTGCTCTATTCACGCCTTCAACCGATGGCCTACCCGCATTACTCAAAGTCACTGATTTCAGTGTTCATTTCATCCAGAAACACTCTCCAAGTTGACACATAAAATTAACCATTACAGTTACCTTCCCCTATGGATTGGAGATACCTCTTTCATTATTTGCTGAATCCCTTTAGGTATAGGGTTTGTGGTTCTTCTTCTGGGGTTTTTATTCTTTTCATTGATCCTTCTATTAATGCCCCAACACTATACTGCTTTATTATTTTTTAGGATTAGTATATCTTCAGTACTCTTCTTTTTCAGAGTTTTCTTGGCTGTTGTGTTTATTTGGCTATTATGGACATCAGTAAACTCATTTCTTACCACGCTTTTTCCTAAGATGTTTTTCTTTATTGTTGTTATAATCATGGGGTCTTTTTTTTATTATTATTTACCTTTTATATTTTCTGTGAGACAGATGATAATTATAAAAGAGAAATAGTAAACAAAAATAAGTAACTAATTTGAACAGTTTTTGCCTTGTTGAAGCCCACACTGACCACAGATGAAGAGCACACTTATGATACAAGTTGGGTTTATCTAGTTTGGGTTGTTACAGGCCACAGAGAATGCATATATTCCTGAGTGCCTCAGGAGCCTCATGGAAAGATAACGGGGGTTTGGGTGCGTGCTGGGAGACTCTAAGAGGGGTTAGGGAAGTAGGGGTCAGTCCTGGGTAGGCTGCTCTCAAGAAGCTGGGACATTTGGTAATTAGATGTTGTAAGTTTTATCCATGAGACAGGACAATTGAAGTGAGGCCAGATTGTCCTGGATAAAGAGCAACAGCCACTTAAGGTAGTTAGAAGAGATGGGTGTTCAGTCATTGTTGTTGTCATCCAACTCGACTCTCCACACTGGTTCTGTGCTGTGGTCTGCTTGTTCTCATGGCCAATTTTCCTTCTCTTCTTGCATTCCCCAGTCTGCCTCCCCTCATCTTCCTGAAGGACTTCTCTCCCCAGTTCTCCATTGTTTCGGTGGTTTTAAATTTCCTTCAGAACATTCTTCAAAAAGAATTGTTTTTTTTAGAATTAATCCTA